GCTGTGGAAAAGGTCTCCATCTTCATAACCTGAACCCCATGAACTCAGTGGTAGCAAAATCCAGAACTAATTTAAGAAGAATCAGGCTTGGTCCAGTTCCTTCATAATTCCCTAGGGACAAATTACTTGGGCTATAATTACACAAAGCCCATTTCAAACCAGAAGGGGAAAAAAACCCATTTATTCAATAATTTCACTGAAGGTGAAGAAACAGAATTTCCCCTTGCTTGAACTCCAGCTTGGTCTCTCCCAGACAGAGAAACTCCATGCAGACCCCAGCAGATTCCTATTAATGAGATGATAGTCAAGAAATAAATACAGATGAAAGCTGTTTGCCTYCTTGGCTGTTAATATTTTATTGAAGTGAAAACTGTGGATTATTTGTGCTGCAGCAAAGCAGGAAGAAGGGCTGCAGGGTGTCTGCTGAGCACTTGTACATTGCATTATCACCCAAGGCCAAAGTGTCAAGTGTGTTGCAGCTCAAATTAGAAAGGAAATGGATATTTTTATGGCCAGTTGCAGCACGTGGCCGAGCCCAGGGTGAACACAACAAGGGAGTGTGAGCTGAGCTTCCTCTGCACTGGACACCACGGTCCTTTTTGTTCCTGCTGCACAAACATGTTAAATTTTTTTTCCCCTGGGGCAGACCTGGCTCTATAATCTTCTCCATGAAGGCCTGGAAGAAGCCACTGGAAACTCTTCCCTTGTTTGGGGCTGTGCCACCAAGCTGAGCCTCTCCAGGGGATGGAGGGAGAGTGTGAGCCCAGTAAGCAGCCATGGTTTAATAAAACATCCACAGTTTTACAAAACACCCACCAAAACTGAGGGGAAATGGATCTGCCCTCGTGTCTGAACCCTGAATGTGGCCATCAAGGATTGCAGTCACAATCCCAGGTGAGGAGTGGGGTGCTCTCCTCTGTGATCTCCAGCCCAGGAGGCTCCAGGGGACCAGGATGGCTCTGATGCCATCACAAAGCTCTGCAAGAGCCCCTTTGTCCCCACTCCCACCTGGCAGCCTAAGAGGTGCCTTTTCACATGTGTGAGTTCCAGCCAGAGGCTCACAAGGGAGTTCTGGATTGGAGAACGGTGATAAAAGTGGTCCTTTTATCTGAAATAAACTCTCAAAACTCTCAAATTCAGCTTGTGAACCTACCCAAGAAGAATTTGTTGGGGTGATGCAAAGTTATTTTACAGGACAYGAGTCAATTCCTGCCACAGACAGAGCACAAAGCCCTGAATGGCCAGGACAAAAGAATTAAAACAATCACCTGGTGATGTGCATCCTGCATGATATCCAAGCCAATCCTTTCATTTCTTCCCTGGGTGCCACTGGAATGGCTTTCCCAATTGTCACACTGAAAGATTCAGTCTTCCATCATTGCTCTTTACTTTCCCACGCAGCCTTGCTCCTGCTACTGCATCCCCATCTGAAATGTCATCYCTGTGGGTGATGTCTGGTCCTGTGCTGAGCTCATTTTCATTAACACACTGTTTACAAGTGGTTTGAGGCTTTGGAGAGAAGGTTTTTGTGGTTTTTCTCAGCTTTTCACCTTGCAGATGTAGAAATAGCCCGTGGCYCCAGTGTAAAACCTTTTCTGGAGGGAGAGCAAAGGAAAACCAGCAAGAGGGCAGGACCGTGGGGAGCAGCAGCAGCAGCGGGTGGTTTTCCTGCTGTCTGTCTGGTGAGCTGTGAGCTCCAGCTTTGCTCAGAGCCCAGGCACTCACAGCACTATGGATTTTCTTGTGTCTAATAAAGATTTCAGCACATAACTCTCTCTGTCTGCAGCTGGACCCTGGAGCTGCTGGATGGGYTGGGTCAGCTGGAGCAAAGCAGGAGCAAAGCAGCATCAAAATCACATCACAGAATCTTGGAATCACAGAAAGCTTTGGGATAGAAGGGATTTTAAGGTTCATTTCATTCCACTCCCTGCCATGGGTAGGGACACCTTCCACTATCCCAGGTTGCTCCAGGCTCCATCCAGCCTGGCCTTGGACACTTCCAGGGATGGGGCATCCACAACTTTTCCATAGTCAAAAATTTCTYCCTAATCTAAATCTATCCTCCTTCAGCTTAAAGCYSTTGTCCCACGTCCTGGAAAAYKGGATTTWATTTCAATGCCATCCCATGCCAGGCTCTTGTTTGGAGCAGAACAGCCCTGGCAGGCTCAGCTCACCCACATTCCAGGAGCTCAGGGTTTCTCCAAAGGGATAAAGGGAGGATCCAAATGTTTTCAGCTGCCTGGAGCTTGCTGTGCTGGCACTGCAAACCGAGGCACTGCTGCCGGGGAAGGGAGGTGGCGAGGAGCCCTCCCTTTTCTGTTTTACCTCCACCCACATACAGAGGGGTAAATATTCCCTGGCAAACACTGCAGAGCAAACAAAGTCATCAGTGCCCTGCCAGGCTGAGCTCTGCTCCCCAGGCTGCTCCACCAAAGGGAACAATGAYCACTCTTTCCAGCARAGYCTCCTCCCTGGCCAGCCAGCTCACYAGCCCAGTGCCAGGGGAGAATCCACCGAGCTTGCTTCTCCAAGGAATCTTGGTTCAGAGCATCCCCAAGGGTGGAGACATGCCAGGCTGGCTTTGAAAAGCATTTTTGGCCATCCCTGAGCACCCCTAAGCATGGGGCCACGTGTCCCAGCCGCGCTGTGTGGGTGGCAGGGGGCACAGATGTGTTCCTGGTGGGAAGCAGAGGCAGAGACCACAACAAATCTGCCTGAGGAAAGTTCTCTCCATCCCCACAGGCTGCTCAGGGCAACATTCCATCTGTGCCAGCGGCCAGGAAAACCCTGCAGGGATAAAAGAGCTCCAGGGAAACATTTTCCTGAATCACTGCAGCCCGAGGCTGCCCTGCAGAGCTTTGTTGGGCTGCAGGAGGGAGGGCTGGGCTGTCTCTGGTGGATTGTTCATCTCTCAGGGGGCTGAGCTGGGTGTGAGGGCACCATCCTGGCTTGGAAAATCTCTAAACCACTGATTGCCTTGTTCTGCTCGCCCAGGACTCTTGCTGCACCTTTCCCCAGGGGATCTGGGGTTGCTCACCGCTGCAGACCTGCTGTGAGCTCCATGGGTTCTCCTTGCCTAGGCTGCTCCCAGACCTCCTTTCTCCAGATTTTCCTCCTCCCTCAGTCTGTTCAGGGTTGCTCCCAGTTAAAATCAGCAGTTTATCCAGCGCTGGTGTGATGGGATGGCCATCTGCTCCAGATGTTCACAATCTTGGGGTCTGGTGACAGGAGACCCAGCCCTGACTGCCCTTGGAGATGATGACAGCCCTGCCATCCTCATGGCCACAACCAAAGGATCTGCAGCCAGCTTGTCCTCTCTGCCTCAAAACTGAGCTCCAGGTGTCTGCCAGCAAAGCAGGAGGAAGGAACATCTGTCTGGAGCCTCCAACTCCCACCACCATCCTCGAAATGCCACCCTCATTGTACCAGAGCCCCACATTTTGCTGGCCATCACT